AAAGAGCCGAAAAAGGACCAAAACGAAACAAAGCGATAGTTCGGGGACCAAAGGTGCAAATATTGGAAAGTTGAGCTAAAGTGCAGAACGAGAATGAAAATATGCCAAGTATGAGATTGAGGATGATACAAGACGATCGGAGAAAAAAAGAAGTAATATTGGACTGAATTGAAGAAAAGTGAAAGATGAAGGACTAAATTGCAATTAATCAAAAAAGAGCCAAGCAAGTGATCAAGGAATTGATTGACTCAAACGTCAATTAGGAGTCAATATCTGATGATGGAACAAAGGAAAGAAAGAAAAGAGGTCAAGAAAAGAGAAAACGAAGTTTAGGAACCAAAACAGCAAGGTTGAAAGTTACAACCATGCGGCCGCACAGAAGGTTACAGGGATTTCATAGAGCCATTTCAGTTGAACCATGCGGTCGCATGGTTTAACACCATGTGGCCCCATGGCTATAAAAAATAAAAAAAAAATCTGAATTTGCGTTTTTAATTGAAACTCTTTTGAGGCTCTACGAGGACATGATATAAAAGCCAAAATTCATCAAAAATAGGGTAGAACGTCCAGGGAGAAGAAAATTACAACTTTTGGAGGCAAGAAACACGATCTTGAAGCCGATTCCACAAGAATTCAAACGGATTTTCAAGGCTATATTCAAGATTTTAAGAAATTTTCATACGGGTACTATTCTTTAAATTTATTAATTTCATTTTTTATTCTGTAATTATGAATATTCTAGGCTAGGTTTTCAATTCACTAGGTGATCGATGAACCATTGTTTGTTATTTTAATTCCATATTTCATGAATTTAATATAAAGACTCGTTTGGACAATTTGATTGGTTTATATACATTGATTTTCTTCCGCAATTAGTGGCCAATGATTGTGTGAGTGTTGATGACTTATTTCTTACATTCGAGAGAAGTGGAATAGGTTCGATAAGGTGTAAATCAACATAGGGTCCGATAGGGGATAGAGATATACCCCTATGCTTTATGCAATTCTCTAATTGTTCACAAAACCACATGCATTCTTGTATATTTGCATCATCCATTGAGATATAGGCTGGTGGTGTACAAGAATATGTCTAATATATATCGAGAGAATATGTTGGATAGATTTAGGAACATTGAATTGGCAAATTTCCATCGGGTCATTGATTTTATGAAATTAGGATTTTTATAGCTTCAATTGGGAATTCGTGATCCTAGTGACTTTATTTTGATTCATTTCCATAAATTAGCTTTTAAATTTGCATAAGTTTATTTACTTGAGTGTTTGAGTCGTTTAATTAGAGAAATTTCGAGATTAGGGTTTCTAATTGAGAAATTAGGATTTTTAATTGAAATTAGTTGTTTTTGCATTTGGACCATATTTTCACTCAATTAGATTCGATTAAAGCTAGATTATATGGAATTGAACTACTCAATCTCTGTGAGACGATATTCGGACTTTTAATAATCCACTTTGTTACTTGTCACGATCCGTACACTTGTAGTAGTTTTAAATTGAAAGAATTATTTCGTGAACAAGTTTTTGGCGCCGTTGTCGGGGATTGAGTATTCGTTTAATTTTATTCAATTTAGCACTAATTCGAACTTTTTATTGTTAAATTTATTTTAGTTCATTTTATTTTATTGCTTATTTAGTTTTATTACTTAAGTGCTTATTTTAGTTAGTTAAGTGTTTAAATTGAATTCTCTTGCAGAAGTGCATGCCAAGATCTGCTGAAGGAGATCTACTCCCAGCCGATCCAGAGATCGAACGAAGCTTAAGAAG